TGCTTCTATTTTACATTTTAAGCTTTTATAATTGGTAACTGGGTAAAATACAGTAAAATGATGAATGGATATGTAGTTGTGGTAGAAGAGTTGTCTGTCCTTAAACATAAAGTGTTTAAAATTATTTCTTTTTTCTCCATTTTTAAATTTAAATTAGAAACAAGATTGTTTTACATGTCAATCCCAGTTTCCTTTCCCTCCCCTCCTCCCCTACCCACTACTGACACCCTACCTATCCCATACCCTTTCTGCTTCCCAGGGAGAGTAAGGCCTTCCATCGGTGGTCTTCAGAGTCATATCCTTTGGGATAGGGCCTAGGCCAACCCCCATGTGTCTAGGCTGAGGGAGTATGCCTCTTTGTGAAATGGGCTCCCAAAGTCTGTTCCTATGCTACGGATAAGAACTGATCTACAAGAGACCACACAGATTAAAATTATTTCTTATAAAAAATTTGGGGAGGAAGTCTTTAAACTGAACGGCCACTGTCACCAGTAAAACCTTCTACCTTTTCATTTTCTGCTTGCTTTGTTTATATTATTATTTGTCACAAACTTGCTTGGGTTTCATAGGTGTTATTTTATCTCTGGATATTTAATTTCTTAGGGGATTAAAAAACAATTATTTTCTTAGTATCCTAAAAGTGTCCTATTTCAAATTAAATATTGTTCAAATAAATTGTTTATATTTTTAAGTTGCTGGAAATGTTCCTCTTTTTCTTTTCAAATTTTGTACACACACAGAGGGGTGGAGTAAAAACTACTTAACCTATTACATTTTAAACGATCATGGTGACATCTCTCCTTTTTGAAGGGTCTGAACTGACCCAGGTCTAGGCTTTGGGTCATGTGATTTTAATTAAGGAATCAGAGAATGGGAATCATCTTCAGAATAGCTTCTTTTGTTACTCCAGTCTGCTGTGCTAGCTGCAGCTAACCACAGACAGCATCTATGTGAATGACCATGGGAGCAATACAGTAAAGTTTTATTGGCAAAGAGCATTGGCCAGTCCCCAGAGGTTTACCAAACTCTGCTCTAGGCTTGAAAATGTGAGCACTTAATAAATAATCTACTTAGATTAAATGTGGTCCCTTTCCACTTGGATTATAGGAACATGCAGTGTCCAGTCACATAAGTGCACAGTCTGCTTTATGCTGTAGTCATTGTATATGCTAATCTGTGTGCACATTGTAAACTGCAAGACAATGTTGTAAGTTCTCTTTAAATATCTGTATGCGTTCAAACAATGATTAAACTGTACTCTCTTTTGGCCAGATGTTTGCCCTTCTTGCTGTTCTACATTATGTCTGAAGAGAACATCTACTCTTTGATTTCATTTCTCATGTTGACTTCTTGCATTTTGATTTTGCTCATGGTGAATTCCCTTCATCTGAAAACGCTTTTTCACATTGAAATATATTTTCACTGTATACAATGCTTGACTGACATTTCCTTTCTTGCCTTTTCGGGGGTCTTTTCTATGGTGTTTGTACTTCTTCCATATTCATGTCTTTTGTAAAATTTGGTAAGAAGTGTGTAGTCATCATTCCTTTGAAGACATTTCCCTCCATCCACTGTTGTCTTCTCTCCCGATGAGCCTATTAAACATGTGAAAACTAGCATGGCCTCACATGTTTCCTAAGCATTTTTATGCTTCTTCACAGTCTCATTTTTCATTTTTCATTCATTCATTCATATTCAATAATACCACTTATTTTCAGGTTTACTGGATATTTTCCATATAATCTGTTCTGTGCATAAACCTATCATACATACTTAGTTATGTCACATTATGGTTTTTTTTTCAATTGAAAGTGAATTTTCATTGAGTCTGCCTTTGTCTCTTCTCTTCCTATAACCTGTCCTATACATTTAATTTACCTCGCCGAGTTTTGTTGTAATTTCAGTTTAAAGTGTGAAAACTGCAACTGTGTCTCATGTCAGGCTCCAATGGTTTCATTCTTCTTTAGAAAGTATATTCTTCTAATTCTTCACAGATAACTAGCATCCAGTTGTGTAGTAGAGATTATGATCTTATGCTTTAAAGTGAGGCTTAGCACAGTGTGTCCTTGGGAGTTAGCTGCTGGAATTCTGAGTTAAAAATCTTACAGGACTGTGGTCATGAATATTTGTTCACATGTTCTTTATGGCTGGGAAAAGACCACAATATTAACCTTAATCAGAGGCCATATGACAACTTAGCATGAAATTCATATTATTTGGTACATTTTATTTAAAAAATGTGATCCTGTTGTCAAGACTAGGATCTATTATATTCTACAAAAGAACAGGATGATTGGTTTGTTTTTATTATTACTATTATTACTTTTTTCTGCTTACAGTAAAGTTAGTTAGATTTAAATTGGAAGCTTTGTATTGTCTACAACATGTCAGGTTTCTCCTGCCATAAGTAGCATTTGTAGAATGTTCTGTGTATTCATTCAGCCCACTGCCAGTAGCAGATAGATTCTTTCCGTCCCCTTCCATCTGGGGTTATGACTTCACCTTTGACCACCCTGGTTCTACATTTACAGTGGCATATCTTCCATCATCGTTCCAGCCACTTGATGCTAGGTTACAACCAAGGACATCCCTTCTGTCAAAACTGTAAAGAGAATATATTGCTTTGTGCTGATTTCTTCAGTTTTGCATTCGATCCCCAGAGCACTGGAGATTTGCTTTCTGGAAACATAATCTATCATTCCTGGAAGGAGATTTTTAATTCTAACTCCAAATCTTTTCTCTTGCAATTACAAATATTTCCTTCTACATGCTCTTTTCTTTCGGTCTTCATTAAGTAGATACTGGCTGTTCCACTAGTTTCTTCTTACTAATTGACTTTGTTCACACTTGCTGATGTGTTCTGCCTAAGAGTCCTTTGCAGCTTACTGCTTTATTAACCGGCTGTGCATTCCCTGCATTGTCCTTCCAAAGCCTGCTATTCTTCTGTTGCTAGTAATTCTGGAACATCTGCAGAGTGGATGGTATAAGAGAAAATGGCAAACTTACTTCACTGACAGACACATGACTGTTTATTTCCCAGATGGAAGTGAACTAGATCCCAAGTGTTGCTTGCCACTAAAAGAAGCTTTACCACTGAAGACTAGCATCCAATGACTTGCCTTCTGTTGTCTGTGTACTTGAATTTCACATCATTTTCTCTGGCTTTCTGTGGCATGACTTCTCGGTCCTCAGCTAGGATATCATCTTGTTCCATTTTCCTATGAAAGGAACATCATGTTTGAGTGTCTTTTGCACACACTTTCTTTTTTTGTGTGGTGAACAGATTTCTGTTTGCTTGAATGGGTCTTAAAGGGAATTTTACTTCAGTAGCTTAGATTTGCAGTTTTTTGTGCAAGTCTTTGTTTTGCTTTTGCTTATTGAATATAGAGGCTATCTGTGTCCTTACTTTTTTTCAAAATATTTTCTTTGCTATATTCTGTATCTCAAAAGAAAATTATCACTGTTAATTTGGGTTTTTGTTGTAGGCATTTCACAAATTCTAAAGATCATATGCTGAGATCTTAACAAAGTAATGTGTTGGCCAGCAAAAGGACTCAGCTGGTAAAGACACTTACCACTATTCAATTCCCTAATATTAAAACAGGAAAAAACACTGGGTCATTATGCACTATATTTTTTGGCTGATTGCTCTATCCAGGCTGTATTTAAATCTAAATTCAAAATGTAGCAATCACTAATACTACTTGTTCTTTAAATTCTAGTCTTGTATTTGCATCCATCAAATGATGTGTTCAGAAGTGTGTTCCCTCACTCTTTTCTATAGAGAGTTTGTGTGAGCCGAGAGTCCAAATTTTAAAATGATACATTTGGGACAGAGCTGTTCTTCATAAGAAGACAATCAGTTTTAACTCTTCTGGTCGTAGTATACTAGCACATGACTATGACTAAAGAGGGTTTTTTTTTTAAACACCATTCCACAAATGGTCTATATTTGAAGTAATATGTTGAGCTACTGAGATTGTATTTTAGGAGGAAATCCATTTAAAAATAAGGAGTTACATGTCTAAGGATGAATTATTACTTGGAAGTACATGACTTCATATCTTTTATTTTGAGAGAAACTTGAAAGTATTTTAATGGAATCATTTTGATAAAAAAAAGAGAATTTATGGTATTTATACATGGACAACTAACTTCCCTTCCCATTTAAATGTATAACACCATGTATGTGTGTACACCTATAAAAAGCCTATTTGAAATAAATACTCGTAGTCATACTATGTGTACGAAAGGATTTTTTTTCACTGCAAAGTTTAAACCATAAATATTGTTCAGTTTTGTATTTGTGTTTAGATATTCCATTCAAACTGTTTTGAGATACTAAAAATTCTTTTAACTGAAAAATTAAGCAATCCCCCAACCAAGTTTTTTTAAAAAAATATATGGTTTATTACTGTGGAACCTAGAGAATGCTTTGTTCTAATGTCATATCTTACCCTACTCCTTTGAAAAAGCTAGTTAAGACACAGTACACATTTAGCACATTCCACCTTTAAAAATTCAAACAGTCTATACCATTTCTTCACTTGATTTGGAGAGATCATCTTGTAGACAACTGGGATTCTTCATAAGACCGAGACTATAGGTTACCCAGCATAAACCTCTAGACCTACAGAATGCGAAGTAGTCAAGAGATCCCCTCTGCATGATTTATACCTGGTTGTGCTTATCTTGAAAAGCTGCCAAGTTTGCTATTTATCTTCTCAGTGTCTCAAGTGGGAATTGATTAGAGCACCTGCTGTTTTGAAGGACTAACTGCTCATGGTTGAAGGTCAGCATTTAGACCACCAACAGTGGTCAGCTCTGAAATGATAGTGTAGAAGGTTTGCTTTTTCGTTGGCAAATGAACTGAAGTAATTATTTATTTTAGCCCAAATTAACTTTATTGAATAGCTGTTAAGCTGTTGTTTGATGAGAATTCAGCATTTGACCCTAGTTATAAGAAAAAAGTCTTAAGAAAGAACTTGAGAAAGGTAAAATTTTGAAGAACTAAAATTGTAAAGCCTAAGACATATTCACTTAGTTATAAGCATTTGGGCGTTTTCAAGAACCTAAAGCATCACAAAGCAGCAAGATTATTCAGTCTTTAAAGTAACTGCCTAGATGAATTTTTGAGGAAGTGATCTGCACAAGGGTCAGGATGAACCACATTCAAAATAAAGTAAGATATATTTACACCAAACATCTTGAAGTGAGGGATTCATTTTCACAGAACAAACAAATTGAACAAATTATATCTCTCTTCTAGTGGACTAGACATTTAGGAAATTGCAAACAATTTATAGGTCTGAATCTTAGACATAACAGTATAATGTTTTAGGAGTTCTGAAAAATTAGCATTAGAATCATAATAAAATTTGTTCAAAATATTAGCTTAAACATATATCAGTGTATTTAGCAGTTCCAACCCTAAGACGGCCATTTTCACAGTGTTAATGTTACAAGTTCATGAGCAAAGAAAGGTGTCTCTGTATGATTGGCATTTGTATTAGGGACATCCAGATTGGGAGTTAGGAAAGTAAAAGATGGTGAGGGGAGAAAGTGAGTTCACAGTTCAGTTCATGGAACCAGAGGGAAGTTCTGTGTGTTGTTGTGGAAAGGGGCCTATGTATTCATTAAGAATACAAAAGAATTGATTCATTAAGAACTCATCATTAGTCACTCAACACGGAGGGACTTAAACACATAAATCAAAATCAAGCTGAGCAGTAAGGTACCAGCGAGAAGAGGATGGCATCTGGGATGCAGCTGGAGGGATGGACCATGAGCAGAGGAATTGAAATACTGCTTCTTAGAAGAATACAGATGGGATGAATGTCTGTGGATAGGGCTAATCCCAAAGTTCCATAGTGGAAAGATAAGAGATAATCTTTCTCCTTCAATTGATTCATTCTTTAAAGTTTTCTTTAACTGCTCCTGACAATCTTCTCTTTTCTTCGATTCTGTAGAAATTATTTTATTCACATAATATTAATGGTTTTAAAATTCTAACCTTTCAATAGAAGTTTATTGCATTCCAAATGTCTAAGAGATTTATTTCTGCATAAGTGAAAATAATTGATGATGATTGACAGATATCTACATAGAGTTACGTATGGGTCAAGGCTGTGTGTCTTAACCGTGTCGTGCATGCATAAAAGAAAGACTGCATGAAGAGGTGTGGGAAAGGAGTGTTGAATGAGTAACACAAATAGAAATACGTAAGGGCTAGCGCTAGGGCTAGGGCACAGTAGTATGGTTCCTCCCTAGCATGCTCAAGACCAAGGGTCATACTACAAAAATAGAAAAGTAAAAAAAAATCAATTTTTTTATTCTTGCGGTTTTGTTCCTACCCAGGAATAAATGTTGGATTTTCAGCTAAAAATTTGTTGTTATTAGCTACATAATTTTACATACACCTCTAATTTATCACACGATTTTTTAAGATTTAAAGTTATTAAACAGAATTTCTAAGATTACATGTAAAGTTTTCTATCCCTATAGACAATCCAGGTATTGTTTCATTTATCTTTAATATTAAAATTACATGAAGCATATTTTCACTCAAATACATGTTTGCTTGCATCATAATTACTACCATTACTGACCTAAACTCAAAGCTGTGGACCATTCCCCTTATACTATTGTGCCCTTTCTACAGCATGTTCTCTGCACAGGTCTGTGGTGCAGAGTAGAAGGGGAGGCAGAGTGCAGGACCAAGCTTGATCCACCAATGGATGGGACTGACTGTGACCCTGGCAAGGTGAGTCACTCACACGCCTAGAGTAAGTAGGAAAATGACATGAAATGGGAAACTTGCATTGTCTCCCAACATCTACACACACATCTGTCTTAGGATCAGTCAGATCATTTATTTCAGTATGTTAAATGTTAATATTTAATCTATTTTTAATTGTAGTTTTTATTGTTTTCATATGTATGTGTGTTTTAGCATTAAGGTGTGCAATTTTTCTTGATGTTAGTATAATGCTCATAGTCAGATATAAATACTACTTTCCCCCAAAACAAATTAATGTTCTTTTATTAGTTAAATACACAGGAATAAAATAAGCACTAATGATAGCATCAATGATAAAAATTTCCCAGAGCACTGATGAATTCTTTTAATTATGATTTTTTCCCCTCAGGAGTTCGGTTATTACAGAGATAACCAATAATTTTCTTTCTGTGGTTGTTGTTGTGTTTGTCTGGTTTTGGTACCAGGGTTATAATGATATCATAAGAAGAATTGGGAATGAGTCTTCCGTGTCTACTGTATAAAATAATTTGAGGATGTTAATGTTAGTTCCATTTTGAAGGTGCAGTAGAATTCTACACTGTAACCATCTGGACCTGGGTTTTTGCTTATTAATGTATTAATTAATTTATTTATTTTTGGATTTTTGTTAGGTTGGTTTGGTTTGAGTTTGGGGTAAATTTAAAAAATTATTCACTTTATTTTGATTCATTTTGGTAGGTCATATGTATTTAAATTCATCCGTTTCTTTTAGAGTTCCTACTTGAGATCTGTAAAACCAATACTCCTCAAGTTATTTCTTAAAACAAAAATTTGATAGCACAACTGCTAACATCAAAATACCAGAGAGATCTCATTAATAACTTAAGGTCGCCCCTAAAGCCTTGGAACAGTTGTTTCAGAAAAACAAATATTCCATAATACCCTCTGAGATTCCAGAAAAGCCCAGGCTTCCTGTGCTATATATTCACATAGCATGTATTATTTTACACTCGTAGAAATTAACTTAAAAATTTTTAAAGAAGTAACTGTTTTATTCATGTGCCACCCTTTGGTGAGGTGTTATTGACTGGGTATAGTTGGTAGGAGAGGGAAAGTCATTCATTTTGTGATGATGTGGCCACTGAGATATTTGGCAT